TGGGCGGTGGCAGCGCCCCCGAGGGGGCGGCCTCGCGCCTGCCGAACCCGGGACGGTGTGAGCCGGCGGTTTCGCGCTTCCCGAACAGCCCTGTGCCCACTGCACAGATGGGGAAACTGAGGTTTGGGGAGGCGAAGTCGCCGGCGCAAGGTCACATGCTCCGGAACGGGCAGAGCCCTGGCCCGGGACCATCAAAGGATTTGTACCATTTCTGTGTCCCGGGTGACACCCAGCCTCCCCTTCCGGCCCTCCCTTGGATGGAGATAAGAAGGGCGAGGTAATTTCCAGTCCGCGGAGGGGCCTCTTCCAAAGTCGGGATTCGTCCTGGTTCCCAAGGCACGGCTTTGACTTCAGCCTGGCCTTGGATGAGCTAGATCCGCTCATCTTACTTTTGAGCCACTTTGAAATCCAAGCCTCGGTAGCCACGACGGCCTGGGCTGCCTGAACGTGTAATTTCGCCCCTCAGCCCCTGCCCCCCCAACCCGTCTAGGAGTAGAGGTTTTCTCATCCCCATTTGAAAGTTAAGGAAACTGAGGCCCAGTTAGGGTAACGAACAGCAATGAAAACCAAAGGAGATTGTAGACCTTCAGCCAGAATTCAGACTTCAGAGTCTGGTGCCTTGAGACCATCTTTTAACTCCATGCCCTTACAAGGTCCTCCTGGGTTGTATTGGGGAGGGGGGTGGAGGCTAAGCAGGCGGAGACTCTGTGGCTGTGGGCTGGAGGGGGGGTGGTGATTGGTGTAGCTGCACTGTAGATACGAATAACCTTCCCTCCCCGTCCTTCTTCCCCTTTCTCCTCCTTCCCACCCTTTCCTCTGTTCCTCCTCCCCCTTCCTCTGTTTCTTCTCCTTCCCTCCCTTCTCTTTTTTCTCCTCCTCCTCCTGGGTAGTAGGCTGTAGGCAGTTGTGACCAAGCTGCTCAGGCATAAGCTTTACCCTTCCCTCCCAGATTATGGGGGGAGCCCTCTGTTAAGGGAAATGCTTTTCACTGGGAAGGAGAAGGAGGCACCCAACATCCCCTTTCCCAGGCGTTTTGACTTATTTGGCTGTTTTGTGTCTCTGGCCCTTCTCCGTGGGCAGAAATGGGGGCAGGGGTGGAGGGAGTCAAGAACTAGAACCTTTTAAAAGGCTCCCAAAGGAAGAGGTATTGCAACCCATCTTCATAGGGAACTTTCTCGTGCCTGTGAAACGAAGCTGGAAAGTGGTTCTGACGTTTTTAAATGGCCGTTTTTGTAGGCCATGGTCAGCACCCGAGCCTGGGAGGTCTAATGGAGGAAAGCTTGTCAGTTTGGTTGCTGGTGATCGGTGGGATGAGAAGAGTAAGCGTTGCCTTTTGCAGTGCTGGGGTGAGTGGGCAGTTAATGCGGTTCCCACCGCCAACTTGGTGCGGACCCTGGGACTCGGAGAGGTAATGAGGTGACTGTCCCACCCCCATTTTATAAGTTAGCCATACTAGGATAACTGGCTCTATCTGTCTCACTCCTGAGTCTGTGCCCCTCAGCCTTGGCTTACCCGTCTTTTAGTGCTCATGGCGGGATTGGATCCACAGCATGTCGACAGAACCATGCCTCACTGTGCCTTTTGGTGAAATGTCCCCACACAGCACGTCTGGAGCCTTTCCTAAGAGAACAGATGGTCGTGGGACCCAGAACACCATCAGGGCTCCCAGTGCCTCTTCTCCAAGTCTGTGTTTTCCTTGAGGGTGGCACCCACCCACACATTCCCCGAACAGCCGCAGGACCCTGGCATGCATCAGGACAAAAGCTTTCTTTTTTATGTCATTTTTGATAAGCTCTACAAAGACGCCTCAGTGAGGAGCCAGCTCTGCCCCTTGCTCACAGAATAGGCTGTTCTTGGGCAGGCGGCTTTGCTCCTGTGGGTCTTTGCCACCAGCCTCCCAGGAAGAACCTGTTTGAGGCCTGTGGGGGCGTGAGAGGAATGGGTAGGCGCTTTGAGATTTCATCTGTAGCAGTGAAGGCTTCCAAGCCAGTGGGAGCAGAATTCATCCTGAGGGAACATAATGGGGGTGGGGAGAGTTACCATAAGGACCTGAGGGTCTTCCCAGGCAGGGAGCCCACTGCGGCTCAAGAAGGGAGAAGAAATTCTCATAGTACTCCTAGTTTTTCTCCCTGTTTTTCTCTACCTGGTTGCCCCAGTATTCCCTTGTCGGATTCGTTTTTCTTTGCTTCTCCCAAGTGGAGATGTTGGATGTTGGAAGGCCCCTGTGTGCCCCGCCCCTCCCACCCCATGCCCAGTGTCTCCGTGTCCTTTTGAATATCCAGCTTACATTGTTTGGCTGTGGGACTCCAATGATGATCGTTCCTAGGAGGGAAAAATCTGACTGGCCCAGGTTCAGGTCAGGCGAACACTCTTGATCCAGCCTGCTCTGGCCTGGTATCCCCTGCTGCTGACTGGGGGCAGGTCCAAAGAAAGAGCAGTGGAAGTAAGGTCTCAGCCAGCAGAGACATGCATAGCCCAGGCTGACTTTGACCACATGGACATCTTAAGTGCCGCTGGTGGCTGCCAGTCGTAGCCCTGACGCCACTCTCAAGGCTCCCTCTGGTGCCTTCTGCGGCCTCTGGCAGAGCACGGCCTGCACGCAGCTTCAAAGAAAGGCCTGCGTCACCTCTTTGTGGCGCCAGCTGTGTGCTGCCACCAGCCCAGCGCCTCCCAGTAGCATGACAGGCTCTGAGGTGGGAGGAAGGAGGTGGAAGGGTAACTTCCACCAAGTTTGTGCCTTGAGGACCAAGTGGCCTCTCACAGCTCCCTCCTTGCCTCCAGTAGCTTCGTCATCTGTGGTGTTGAGCCCGTCCTGACACATAGCCAGGCTTGTGTCCCTTTTACTCGTGTCAGCAGGCCACATGCCTGCCTTTTGTCAGGGCAACCTTAGGTGGATTGAAGGAATTCTGGTTTTATCCTCTTGAAAAGTAACTGACATCATGTCCTTGGGGTTGGGTTTAAGCTGTCAGCAGCCTGGCTTCCAAACGAGGAGGACCAAGGGTCCTTCAGCCCTGTCTCCTCAGAAGGTCCACTTAGAGGGCAGCTGAGGTGACCACTGTCCTGCAGCCCCCTCCCCAGCCCCTTGCTTTTCTTCAACCTCTGTCTCCCCTCCCCTCTCCTCTCTACTTCATTCCGTCCACCCCGCCCCCGCCAAGATCTCGGCTGATCGGATGTCTGGAGGAAGGCTCACCCCCAGCAGAGGCTCCTCCGACGGGCCCCCCCTCGGTGCTGACTTCAGTCAGAGAGGCTGTGACCGTTCGGGCAGGGCTGGAACAGGACCCCGTTTCCTTCCTACGGCAGGTGTTCACTGAGCAGCAGTGACAAGCCAGGCACTAGGGACGTGGCCAGTGGACTACATAGGCAGAGACCTGATGTGGTGGGGCTTCCTTGCGTGGCAAGGCCCAGGCAGGTGCGAATGTCAGGTGGTGAGAAGCACCGTGGAGAGGTGAAAGCAGAGTGCAGGCGTGGGCAGGGGGTCGCTGCTTTTGGCGAGAGCGGTTGCCAAAGGCCTCTGACAGAATGACACGCTAATATTTACCCACGGGAAGTTGAGGAGTGAGCAGTGTGGGTGTCGGGGCAAGAGTCTTGCCGGCAGAGAGCCCGAGGCTGGGGCGTGCTTGGTGTGGTGGGAGAACGGTAAGGAGACCCGTGTGGCTGTACCGGAGGGCATGAGGGGAAAGCGGTGGGAGGAGGGGGTGATGGGGGGGGGGGCCTTGCAGGTTGGGGACTCTCTCTCTGAGTGAGGTGGCAGCCCTAGGAGGGTTGTGAGCTGACCTGGATTCTAACAGGCCCGCCCCCTTCTGGCTCCTGCGTGGACGTTGAACTCTTTGAGGGCAGGGACAGAAACAGGGTTCCGGTTGTATCCTGGGTGTGTGGCGTGCCAGCCTGGGCTGGTGGGGAGAGGTGGTGCCAGGTGGACAATGATCCCCCAAGAGGAAGTGGGCCCTTGGCTAGGTTTCGGCTCTTGCCCCTGCCGGATAACATGTTATGAGAGCTCAGCCGAATTGTCCTACTTTTCTCAGCCTCCGTGGCCATCCGTAAAATGGGAATAAGAACACCTGCCAGGAGCAGTGACAGTGCTGCCGCTATTATACGCACTGTATGAAGGCTGCTCGTGTCCCAGGCACTGGGTGATGCGTTCCCCGCCCGCCCCCCCCCCCCCCCCCCGCCGCCCCGGCCCTTCCTCCCACCAGCACTGCCCGTGATGTCTCGAGTGGGAGAAAGGCAGAGCCCCGGTGTCAGCCCTCAGTTCCTGGAGTGGCCCAAACTCCCACGCAGGGCGGGGTTGGCCCTGAGACCTCAGCCTCTGTTCCTCTACAGATAGGGAAATGGGCACTTATAAGAGAGATGGGTCTGAGTGAGGATTCAGGTTAAAAAAGGCTAACCTCGGGGCCCCTGGGTGGCATAGTCGGTTAAGCGTCCGACTCTTGATCTCGGCTCAGGTCATGGTCTCATGGTTCCTGAGTTCAAGCCCCGCATCAGGCTCTGCAGTGATATTGCAGAGCCTGCTTGGGATTCTGTCTCTACTTCTCTCTGACCCTCCTTCACTTGTGCTCAGTCGTGCGCGCGCTCTCTCTCTCTCTCTCTCTCAGTCTCAAAGTAAATAAACTTATAAAAAAAAATTTTTTTTTTAGATAAAATAGGTCTAACCTTGCCTACAGGATAGAATAAATTGGCTAAGAAAGTTGTAGCTGAGTTGCTAAATGTGGGTACCGAGGGGGGTTGTTGGTGTTTGTTTTCCTTTCCTTGTGCCTTGAGGGGCACGAGCCGAGCAGAGTTGGGCCGTGGCAGCTTGGCTGCGTGAGCCGAGGTGTCGGTCCTTTTTTTTCCACGGAAGCGTAGCTGACACACGACGCTTTGTTGGTTTCAGGTGCACGACACGGGGATGCGACAAGTCCATGCGTACCCGGGGGTGTCCGTTCCTCTTCTCCTCGAGCTTCCTTAACATAATGGGGTTTTAACATTTTGGAAATAGACCTTGCTACGGAAGCATCATTTTCTTTCCTCTGGGATTGTGGTTACTAGAGTACAGAATCCTGCAGGTGCCGTTTTCTCCTTCCGCCGGTAAGAGTAGGAGGCTCGCCGGGCTCAAGTGAACCGAAGGCCCCATAGCATGCTTGTGTATGTGTATGTGTGACTCTTACTTGCGAAGTTTTCACACATAGAGAAAAATCTAAACAGCCACGTGCCCACCACCGAGATTCTGTGATGGTTGACATTTTGTCGAGTTTGCCATTTCTGTCTCCTTACAGAATATGCGTGTGTGTGTGTGTGTGTGTGTGTGTGTGTGTGTGTGTGTGTGATCTGTGGGTTTTTCACGGAGTCATTTCAGCCGCAGACATCATGACACTTTAAATACGCGAGCATGCTGTAAGAATACGGATATTCTCCTTATCCTCCTACTGGTCACACCTAAGAAAATTTGAAATGACTTAAGTGACCTAAAACCAGATGCATATTGTAACCCCCCCCCCCCCCCGTGGTCCTGAAAGTGTTTTTTCTTTTTTTAAACCAGAATTCTTTCAAGTTTTACTCATTTCAGTTGGATGTTGTGTCTACTGCCAATCTAGGAGAGGCCTCGTGCTGGTTTTTTCTCAATGGCCCTGGTTTTTCAAAGAGAGCCGTCTTGTGATCTTACCGAAAGAATGCCCTGCGTCCGTCTGCTCATTTTCTCCCGGTGTCATCTGGCCGCTTCCTCTTCGTGTCGTCTGCCGTCCTGTCATACCTGGTGCTGTGTGCTCGATACTCAGCACGCCGTGGGGAACAGCATTATTGGTGGTGCCGAATTTGATCTTTTCCGTAAGGGTACATTTCCCCCTTCGCAGTTAGCAGCAGTTAGTGGGGCCCTGGGCATCCTGCCCGTGCCTGGTCTCCTCCACCTTCCCCCTCTGGTATGGACATCATTGCTGATTCTTGCCAGAAGTCTCCATTTCGTTGGCATTTGCAAAGAGGCGGTTTTAAAAATTCCTTCATACCTTCCACATTTATCAGCTGCCATTCCATAAGATAGGGTAGAGCTTAATTCTTTCCCTTTAATTTAAATCTTCATTTTAAAGAATTTGTTTTATCATCTTTCCCAGGGGTGGCAAGAGACTTTTCCCCCCTTTATCCACTTACTTGTATTTTTGTTTGTTTGTTTGTTTTTAGTATATGGACTCATAATAAATTTTCCTGAGGGCTTAAAATCATTGATACTCATTATCCTTCTTGATACTCAGGTTGTCCCAGATTTGGCCAGCAGGAGCCCCTTTGGGCTGGCTCTGGTACCTTTTTGATATGCTCGCCTTACTCCCTAGTCACCTCCTTGGTTTCCCTGCTCTGGTCCTGGCATCAGTTGTTCTCTCCAGAGAGCTCTGGTTCCTTTCAGTAGGTCTCATGGGCTTTTTTTTTTTTTTTCATTAGCAGCTTTATTGGATATAATTTATGTACTATAAAAACTTAACATAGGCTTTTTAACTTGAATGTTTTTGGTGGTTAGAAACCGATTTTATGGGGCACCTGGCAGTAGAGCACGTGACTCTCAATCTCAGGGTCATGAGTTCAAGCCTCATCTTGGGCGTGGAGCCTACTTAAACACAGATTTGGGGGGGCCCTGGGTGACTCAGTCGGTTAAGCGTCTGACTCTGGCTTTTTTGGCTCAGGTCGTGATCTCACGGTCTGTGAGTTTGATCCCCACGTCAGGCTCCGAGCTGACGGTGTGGAGCCTGCTTGGCATTTTCTCTCTCTCTCTCTCTCTCTCTCTCTCTCTCTCTGCCCCTCCCCAACTCTCAAAATAAATAAAACATTTTTAAATAACTGATTTTATGAGGTGCTAATGGGTTCATTGTATCTGTAAACTAGGAATTGCTTGTCTGCTTTGGGATTTTCTCTAAAAATAGTATTGTCACCTTTTATTTCTCCTGGAAAAGGCTGGGGGTACTTTGGATAACTTAGGCATGTACTATTCAGTTCTCCCTTTTGGTGCTTATGATGCTGTTTATTTTCATTATTTTTTTTATTTTTTTATACCGTTTATTAATTTTTGAGAGAGAGAGAGAGAAAGAGAGAACACAAGCAGGGGAGAGACGGAGAGAGAGGGAGACATAGAATCTGAAGCAGGCTCCAGGCTCTGAGCTGTCAGCACCGAGCCTGACTTGGGGCTCAAACCCATTGACTGCGAGATCATGACCTGACTCTCGCATGACTGCTGCGAGATCACTGACTGAGCCATGCAGGTGCCCTTGTTTATTTTTGTTTCTATTTTTCCTCTCCTGTTCTTGTACCTACTTGAAGAACTCAACCGAGTCCTTGTGTGCCTTCCCCTAGCTCACTTTAACTTCGGCCAGATAAATACTAGCAGTGGAAAGAGGAGGAGGAGGAGGAAAGGGAGTGGGGAGAAACAGCCCTCTCCTGGGTGCTGTCTTCTGTTCTCAGTGCCTTTACTCTCCCCTCCCAGGAGCTCAGACCACCCTGGCCCACCTCCAGTTCCTGGCACACACCAAGCCACCCCCACCCCCCCTCCCCCCACGGAACTCTCTGGCCCTGTGCTTAGGTGCCACCACTCCCCACCTCAGGCAGACTCCTATCTATCACACTTACATGGCACCCCCTCAGTGGGTCTTCCCCGATTGACCCTTGGCTAAAGTGGTTCTTCACAAATGCATCACACACGTACCTTGGATTCTCAGGCAAGGCATCTGTCCATTTCC